TTTAGGGTTCAGGGTTTAGGGTAGCTATGAAGACAAAGGCGCGCTGAACATCTTAGCCATGACGCTGAAGACTAAGAGCCTCAACCAGTGAGCCGCGACCTGTACGGAGGCGGAGGTCTAGGGTTTAGGGTTTAGGGTTTCGGGTTTAGGGTTTCGGGTTTAGGGTTTAGGGTTTAGGGGTTCAAGGTTTTAGGGTTTAGGTGCCTTGAGCTTGGAACCGTCCAGTAAACAGCCACGGCAATTGCTGACCTGCAACCGAAATCTTTCATCCTAACCCTAAACCCTAAACCTTAAACCCCTCTAAGCCCGAACGCTACCGTCCTTGACCATGAACCCCTTAAACCCTAAACCCTAAACCCTAAACCCTAGAAAGCTATATCCAAAACTTCGACGTCCCAAGGACGAATAGGCTTCTTCCTGGCCGACATCGTCATGCGCCCCTGGGTGGTCCCTGATCCGCTCTGCAAGCTCCTTGTTGGCGTTGCTTCGTTGCTGCTCTCTGGTGGTAAGGGTTTAGGGTTTAGGGTGTAGGGTTTGGGGTGTAGGGTGGTTTTTGGGCGGGGGTGGGAGTGGCACCACCGGTTTGTAACTGACTGACTCTTAAGCAGGGTGCGGATTCTGTGAGTGGCAGTAGCCCCTGCCCAAGCAGTTGCTCAAGACCTTGCGTTCTATTCTCCATCAACAAATCGACAAAGCTTTGCGGGGTGTGACTCTGCAAACCAAAAAACGCGAAAAGCCAACCCCCTTGCTCAGAAAAAAAAACTAAGCCCTAAACTTTAACCCCTAAACCCTCAAACCCCTAAACCCCCAAACCCCTAAACCCTAAACCTAAACCCTAAACCCCTAATCCCCTAAACCCCTAAACCCCTAAACCCCTATACCCCTAACCCCTAAACCCTAAGCCCTAAACCCCTAAGCCCTAAACCCCTAAACCCCTAAACCCTAAACCCCTAAACCCAAAACCCCTAAACCCTGGATCGAGCTGAGGGCCTATGCCTACACTTTCGCTCCGAAGATGATTGGGTTTTCGGTCGTCTCTTGGCATCGGCGTAATAGTTGGAATAGGGTTTCATAGGGTTCCTTTACAGGGGTTCCTTAAAGGGCTCCTGGCATCGGCTACGATTGCTGAAATTACGTAAACTTTCGGGTTTAGGGTTTAGGGTTAGGGTTTTAGGGTTTAGGGTTTAAGGGTTTAGGGTTTAGGGTTTAGGCTACGATTGCTGAAATTACTGTAGGGGCCAGAATAGTTGGAATAGGGTTTCATAGGGTTCCTTTAAAGGGGTTCCTTAAAGGGTTCTATAAGGGGCTACTATATGGGTTTAGGGTATAGGGGCCTTAATAGTTAGAATAGGGTTTGGGGTAATAACTATAATAAGGAACCCCCCAAAATAGTATAGGTAATTATTTAGGCACCTGCATTACGTAAAACATGCTGGCATTGCTTTTTATCCTCTCACATCCTAAGCTTTTTCTACTCTTGCTTCTACGGCAGCAACAACGCTAGCAGCTGCTGACTTCTATTGTTCCGGTCTCCTAGCTACTGAAGTCTGAGCATCATCAGTGTTTGAATGGCCGGCAGGGGTTGATAATACCCTAAACCCTAAACCCTNNTAAACCCTGAGCCCAAAACCCGAAACAATCAGCTGTCGCAGGGCCACTGTAAGTCCCAAGTCCCAAGCCACTTGTCGGTACAGAGCCTACACCCGGCATGCTGCTGCAAGTGTTTCGGTTACTTTAAAAGGGTTACTATGAATGAAGGTTGCAAAAGGGGTTGCGACGCCCGTTACCATACTGTTTCTAGCGCAGTGGCCACGTGATCCTTTTCCTTGCAGCATGCCTTAAAGTGTCAATCAGAAGGGCAAGAAGCCAAAAGCCCCTCTGAGAGCAGAGCGGGTTTAGGGTTTAGGGGTTTTGGGTTAGGGTTTATTTATAACTTCGTAGAACCCCTTGTAGTAACCTTCAACCCATTCGTTAGCCCTTTCAGGAACTTGTATGGTAACCCTTAAACCCTCAACGCTACACCCTCGAGGGGGGCTTCTTCGCTTTCACGGCGGCGTATTGTGCTTTGCGACACCAAACCAATGTGTGGGTAGGCCGGGCCGCGAACTCTGCGTGCAGCTTAGGATCTTAGGATTTGATTTTAGGGTGTTAGGATTTTACAGCTTCACAGTGGATTTCAGGTTTTCGTTTGGTTTTAAAAGTTGGGTTTCTATTTCTAATTTTTTCTTAAGTGTCTTTCGGGCGTCGGGTCTGGCTTCGGATTTAGAGTTTAGAGTTTGGGGGGTTGTGGGGTGCATGGTCATCGAGTTTCAGATAGGGCCCCCAAGCTTACCATTTGTAGACCTAGACCCGCGCTACCTGCGGCTGTGACACCCTTGAGCCCAGCACTCTCAGCCGTTGCAGGGTCGACCATAAACTTGTACTCGTTAACTTTGCTTATAGAGATATGGGGGTTTCCGAAAATTAGGGTACCTTATTTTGGGTTCCTTATAATAAGGATCCTACTATTTAGGGTACTATATTAGGGTCCCCTATTTTCGGAAACTCCCATATACTATATTTTAAGTTACAGCATACTAGTAAGACGCTATACTATGCTATACTGGACGCTCGGAGCTCTACATGGCGACAGGCCTCGCAATGCCGGCCATCCTGTCATGCTACAAGATGATCAGCGTCGCAGTCGTCAACAACGCACCTCGGATCCCGAAAAAGGTGGTTTAGGGTTTAGGGTTTAGGGTGAGGCTCGTCCCTAAACCCTAAACCCTAAACAGTATCTAGGACCCAACTCTGGATCGGGTTTCGGGTTTAGGTTCTAGATATAGTTTTTTTTTTTCAAGGGCCCCTTTAAAGGGCCCTTAAAAACAACAAGATCTAGAACCTAAGCCCGAAACCAATCCAGAGCTGGGTCCCCTTGAAACGCATCGTCTGGAATCTTGGGCCGTTTAGGATTTAGGGTTTAGGGCTTAGGGCTTAGGGTTTAGGGTTTAGGGTTTAGTGAAAAAAGCCTTTTTAGGCTTTGGAGCTGTAGGTAAACCCTAAATGCTGAAAGTTTGGCTTTCAGATTTGGGCGCCCGGCAGTGTAGTTCGAGGTTCAGCAAGCCCACGCCCCGAAGTGTCAAGTCTTTCATAGCCTTCCTGTGGAACTTGCACCTATTGTCACATGTCTTTTTTTCAGTGTTATTGTTGTTCTTGTTCATTGCGGTAAGCTTGCTGTTTCATTCTCAATGCTCGTAACAAGCATAGGGCACCGAGAGAGTACATGTGTGGTCTAGGGAGAGGGCTACACCCCAAACCTGGACGTGAATTCGGTTCAGGCAAGCTCTCAATCTTGGGAGAGTGTCGCGCCCTAAGCCATAAGCCCTATACGTCCCAAAGCGATAAACCTCAAGGTAGGTAGTTCTCTAAAATAGGGTTCCTGCTTTTTCCCTAAAAGAGTACGGTACCCTAATAACAGGGATCCTGCAAGGGACCCTAATCTGGAGAACTACCCAAAAACGGTGTAAAAGAAGCCCGGAACCACCTCGCCGAGGCGTTCACGCGAGGCTACGTCACCAAGAAAGCCACAAGGCAAGCCTATGCACACTCTGCACAAGGCGGGGGGAAGATTTAGGGTTTACTATAGGGGCGTCAATGATTACCTATATTATTTTGGGGGGCTCTTATTCTAATTATACTATGAAGGACCCTCAAACCCTATTCTAATTATTAAGGCCCCTACATTAGGTTTTCTAGCTTAGGGTTTAGGGTTCGTGGGTTGGGAGGTTTAGGGTTCCTTTCCTGGGGAACCATGGCCATTATATCTTCAGAACGAAGGCGAAATCTACCAAGGTGCCGCGAAGCCATCACCGCGGAAGCCCGAAACCTTAAACCTACCTAAGCCCTAAACCCTAAACCCTAAACCGTCCTAAACCCTAGACCCTAAACCCTAAAGCCTAAAGTCCTAAACCCCAAACCCTAAACCCTAAACCCCAAACCCGAAACCCTAAACCCTAAACTCCTGAACCCTAAGGAGGGACTGTGAAGACGCTTGGACCCGATTTTTCTCACAGACTTAGCATCCTTTCCGGTTGAGACGGTGACCCAAAGACTCCAATACCCCTTAATTAAGGAATATACCGTAAATCATAGTAGGGATCCTACTATAATTTAAGGTATATTCCTTAATTAAGGGGTATTGGAGTCTCTGGGGAGGCAACAGTCGACCTTTCTTTGTCCAGGGGTTTAGTGTTTTGTGTAAGGTTTGGGGTTTAGGGTTTCGGGTTTAGGGTTGCCCAAACCCCCACCCCCCGCATCCTAAGCCTATTAACCCCAATCTCCAAAAACCCAAGTCACCAACCACCAAACCCCCCAATACAGGGTCAGAATAGTGGGTAGTGTCCGTATGCCGTCATGGTCCCTGTGTAGAATAATGCTATCTATCTGTTTATCAATCAATAAATCTAGCCATCTATCTATAAGCAAGTAAATATGCATATACCCACAAAGAGAGAGAGAGAGAGAGAGAGAGACAGAGAGAGAGAGAGAGATATATATCTATATATACACATGTAGCTAATATGTACGTGTGTGTATATATATATATACACAGCCATACACATACGCATAGGTGTACATATAGTGGACCCCAAAACCGTTTCTTAAGTATAAAGGGCCCTGTACGAATCACACCTTCCCTTTACTACAATAAACCGCATGATCCTGTAGAACCCTCAGCAGAACGCCCAAAAAGAAGCCCCGCAACTCCTAAACCTAAAACCCTGAGCCCTAGACCCTTAAACCCTAAACCCCTAAACCCTACACCCTGACCGCTAAACCCTTAAACCCTAACCCCTAAACCCCAAAACTCCAAACCCTAAACCCTGAACCCTGAACCTTTAAACCCTAAACCCCTAGACCCTAAACCCTAAACCCTTAAACCCGAAACCCCCAGACCCTAAAAAAGCGCCTAACCCTCCAGCCGGTTCACGCGGCAGCCCGAAACCCTAAACCCTAAACCCTAAACCCTAAACTGAAGGCGACTTAGCCTCTGCGGCCATTGCTGGGGTCCAGGCTCATGGTGCCTCGGTAGCGACGAAGGAGGGTTCAGCGCTTTGGGTTTAGGGTCTTGGGATTAGGGTTTAGGGTTTAGGGTTTAGGGTCTTGGGATTAGGGTTTAGGGTTTAGAGTCTTGGGATTAGGGTTTAGGGTTTAGGGTTTAGGGTTCAGCGCTTAGGGTTGCGGGTCTTGGGTTTAGGGTTTAGGGTCTTGGGTTTTGGGTTTAGGGGCTTAGGGGTTTAGGGTTTAGGGTTTAGGGTCTTGGGTTTGGGGTTTCGAGCTAAAAAAAAATGGCTTCAAGTTTAGATTTTATGGTCATCCTGTAAGGTTTCTATGATTCCTCAGTTAGCTCCTGACCGCTTCTTTGCAGTGCTTCCAGCTTAGGTTTTTCAAGTGACAGAACTGCAGAACCTGATTCAAGGAGAGGAGGTCATGCTTGGGAAGTCTCCGGGTGTTCAGGATTTAGGGTTATGGTTTCAGGGTTTGGGGACTAGGGGTTTAGGGTTTAGGGTTTAGGGTTTAGGGTTTAGGGTTCAGGGTTTTCCACGACTACTTGGACCTCTAGGCCCCAAGCGCGAAATTCCTTGAAACTAAACTGCATAAACACCTGAAGCCCCCAAGCGTCTGAAGCCCAAAACCCTAAGCGCAATCGATCTGCTCTGGAGAAAGGAGAAGCGCGACAAAAATGTAATACTTGCTCTCTGAATTCAGGCCTTGGGACTTAGCCCTGTGCTGTAAAGCCTACACCTTAATCCTTCTTCGAACGTTGAAAGTAAGGCCTCTCTGACCTAGCACTCAGGCGAAGCAGCGCGGATGGTCTGGATCCTCTATGGGGTGGTGAACGCAGCTTGGTGGATCAGTTCCGATGGTGCGGTGGTTCGGGGTTTTGGGATCCCAAATCCCGAGCCCTGAAGTCTACACTCGGTTTGGTTTGCCGTGAAACGTGGTCGTTTTTATATAAAATCGCGAAGGGAAGCAGAGAGCAAGAAAGCCCCACTTGAGGGGGTTTTGGGGGTGAGCCCTAAACCCTAATTGAGAATAGTTGCGGTCGTTGGGGCGGGAGACCACATGCTGACGCAAGCGTGCACTTCTGCGCGCCTGCTCCTAAAGTAAAAGGCGCACCCGCCACGCGCAGACTGTGTACACACTCTAAACCTTAAGCCCTGAGGCCTAAACCCTTAAACCCTAAACCCTTAACGCTAAACCCTTAACCCTTAACCCTTAAACCCTAGCCGGAACCAAAGATTGCACAGCGGGCTGAGCTTTGTTGCGGTCATATGCGGTTTCGGGTTTCGGTTTCACGGTTCGAGGTTCAAGGTATAGGGTTTAGGGTTTAGGGCTTCAGGTCTAGGGTTTGGGGTTTGGCGGTTAGGGTTTAGTGTTTCGGGGTTTCGGGTGCGGCTGCTTGCTGACCCAAATCACGGTGCGGAGGTTTGGGGTTTCGGGATGCGTGTTGCAAGTACAGTGGAGGGCTTGCTCTTGGTCTTAGGGAGACTTGGGGTTCAGAATTTCAAAGTCCACGGACTCCACCGCCCGAGGCCGTAGGTTTTGGCATTTCGGAAGTTTGCGGCTTGCCTCTCACACCAGTTCAAGGTTTCAGGCCCCATGGGCTTAACTGTGGTCGGTGAAGGTTCTCAAGGTCGGGGCCTCCTCGTCGAGTTCTCGAGGCTCGGGCTTCCTTGTAGACTTTCTGTCTTGAATTTTACGCTTTAAAGTTCAGTGCAAAACCCTAAACCCCAAAGCCCTAAACCCGAAACCCCTAAACTCCTGAACTTCCCGTTGCGGCCCAGGCCCTGCTAACCCTGCGACCCAACTACCCTAAGCTCTATTACGGATTAGGGGTTTAGGGTTTTGGGGGCTATGCTGCAAGCCCAATCTTCGATGCCCTTGCTCATTCCTTATGCAAGAGGAGGACAGCGACAGCTACTGGGAGTACGTAGTCCCCGTGGTGGCCGGCACGATCTGGCGACTTAGCTGCGTGTTTTTCGTTCCGTCCGCTTCTTTTGGGGCTCGATTGTAGAGCTCGAGGTTTAGGGTTTAAAGTTCAGAGAGAGATACCTGCAGGACTACTGTGAGTTACTTTCAATTCAGCATGCCAAGATGACCTGATAACGCTTATTGCAAGTGTAGCACATCCAGGCCCTGAAACCCTAAACCCTAAACCCTAAACCCTAAACCAAAGCTCTGAGCTCTCCCATACCGCAGGGTTTGACCATTTCGGGTTGAGAGTCTGAGCTTTGGGTTTGGGGTCCTGGGGTTTGGGTTCGAAGTCTTGGGGTCAGGGCCACTTCGAGTTTCAAGTCTTGAGAGCTTGGGGCCCGGACCCCAACCCTAAACCCCAAACCTTAAACCCTAAACCTTAAACCCTAAACCCGAAACCCTAAACCCTAAACCTTAAACCCTAAACCCTAAACCCTAAACCCTACACCTTAAACCCCACTAAACACCCTACGCCCCTTTGAAGACCCTGGAGCTCCCCCGAACACCCTAAATTCCAATCCCTAAGCACCCTAAACCCCCCAGTAAACAACACCCTAGACCCCTTAAGGCTTGTTGTGATTTTAGGACCCTGAACCCTAAACCCTACACCCTATAGGCCCCACTCAACACCCTAGACCCTAAACTGCTTAACCCCTTAGTGCTTTTTCTTTTTGAAACGTCCGAGTCAACGAGTTTTTGTTAATGAAGGCCCAGCCTCCCCTTCCAGTCTGGGATTTAGGGTTCAGGGTTTAGGGTTTTTCAGGGTTGAGGGTTTAGGGTTTTTTAGGGTTTCGGGTTTGGGGTTGTTTTTCGGGTTTAGGGTTTAGGGTTTTAGGGTTCAGGGTTTAGGATTTTTTAGGGTTTAGGGTGTAGGTTTTGGGAGGGGGCTGGGGGATTCTCGCTCAGGAACATCGTGGCCCGTACTGGCGTGATGGATAGGCTGCGAAGCATCCGGGAGTTCCCACACTGCCAGGGTGGTGAGTTTAGGGTTTAGGGTTTAGGCCCACGCCATGGGTTCGGGATTTAGAGTTCAGAGTTTGGGATTGGGGGGTTGAGTGTAAAGGTTCGAGCTCCATGGGTCCTAAACCCTAAGCCTTAAACCCCATCGGGCGGGGACGGACTGGAACCAACCATCTAGTTGGCTGGTACCGCTACTGATGAGCACCTGTGATCCTGCATTGAGGATTCTCCGCTAACCTATAATATAGGGGCCTTAATAATTTGTTTAGGGTTTTGGGGTTCCTTTTTCGGGTTCCTTAGAGGGTTCTATAAGGGGCTACTATAAGGGTTTAGGGTGTAGGGGCCTTAATAATTAGAATAGGGCTTTGGGGCCCATTATACTATACTTGCAATAAGGAACGCCCAAAATAGTATTGGGTAAGTATTGAGGCTCCTACATTAACGAACTCAAGGCACCAGTCCCTCCCCCTCCCTTCGTTCTTTCATGGTTTCGCGGTTTGCGTTAACGTTGATTTTGTTTTCAGTTTTGGCGGCCCTTTCGAGCGGTCAGCTTCAGGATCCTATTATTTCAGGATTCTGTATCTGGGCCCCATATTTCCTGCAACTCGTAGGCCCTGAACTACCCAAACATGAAACCGCAAGAGCTAGAACAGGGCTTGGGTACATGATACGGTTAATCATAGAGGCACTGTAAGGAAATCCTGCTGTTCTGTTTACAAGGCCTCTCTCTCTCTCTATATATATATATATATATGACAAGCTTATCCCTGAACCTCACCCGAATCTAAGCCCCTAAACCCTAAACCCTTACACTCTGAACTTTGGAGACTCTTGCCCTTCATCCGTAGAGGATGGAAACACTAAACTAATACTTAAAGGATTATGGAAATCCTGGGACCCTAAGCCCTAAACCCTAAACCCCTAAACTTTCTTAAAGGATTGTGGAAATCCTGGGACTTAGTAAAGAGTGTTGTAACAACTGTAAGAATAATTATGGCTACCCATAGCTGCTTCTGAGCCAACCTATAGTACTTACACACTTGCTGGATCCTCCAAGTGCCCCGAGCCCTGAAGAGAGTGACCGTCAAAATCAAGATTTTGAAGCCTTGCCAGAAGCCCGCCCTTAATCCTAAACCCTAAACCCTAAACCTTAAACCGTTCCGGTAGGCTCTGGGATGTTTTGACGTGCGGATGGCTCGCCCCCTCACGAAGCAGGCCGGGAGGGCGAGTTTCCGCGTCCATAGGAGGCCAAGCAGACTAATGTAGGGGTCGGACAAGTGTGTAATCTAGGGGCCTGAATAATTACCTGTACTATTTTGGGGGTTCCTTAACCCTAAGCCCTAAACCCTAAACCCTAAACCCTAAACCCTAAACCCTAAACCCTAAACCTTAAACCCTAAACCCTAAACCGTGGGGTTCCTTATTATAGTTATAGTACAATATACCCGTATATTAACAACATCGCCTTATGGTCGTATACGGAAGCAATCAATCTGCAAGCCCCGTTGTTGTGGAGGCCGATATTAAAGTCATGGGACTTAGGGTTTAGGGTTCAACGGTTCTAGAGCCAGGTTTGGGTTGGTTGAGGTTGCAGTGAGGATTCAGAATGGGTTCAGTTTAGAGTGTAAGAAAAGGGGCCTTAATAATTAGA